CCAGACGCTCTTATCCAGAGCCACCCAGCCTCAGGGCACACTGTGGAGGGTCCCCAGGAGTCAGGCAGTTAACACGCAAAGCCAGACGCCTCAAAGTGGCTGGGTGTCGAGAATTATGAGAACCAATCAGCCAAAAAAGAAACAGTGGGCGCTTTCCAGGCAGGCACCTCCAGCCCAGGGGCAGCCCTTTTCAGCCCCCTTGAGAGAAACAGGCACGCACGTGTCCTCGGCTTTCACTGCACACCGACTCTCCCAACAGCTGCTAAATCCCATTCCCAGCCCCTGCCCCAGCCGGACACGGCCAGCGTCCCTGCCCAGGCCGAAGCTCCATGTGGACCCCGACCTTCCACATGCCTCCAGATGCGCAGACCCAGGTTCCTGCGGGCCGGCCCGGTTCCCAAGATACGTCTCTGCACGGCCTCCGCTGACCCTGCACTGTGGCTCTATGCTGACAGACTTGGAAACTCCTGCCCCACAGACGCTGCAAACCAGCCAACCGGAGTCGGCCCTGCGCCCACCAAGCCTGAGCACCGCAAGACTGCTCCCCGCTTTGCCCACGGCTGTGCATCACAGGGCTCCCCACGAGCTCCTCCCTTCAACCCACACACGCCTTCGGAAACGCCAGGACGACTCAACAGACAGCCCTTGGTGAAGCGCCCTTTCTCAGACCCTGCAGCCAACGGTCCGTGCCAGGCGCACGTGCACCGACGACACACACGCCCGCGGTCCAGACGCCCCCCTTACCTGGTTGGCAAATCCCCTGAGGTGAGCCATGTCTGCGCGGCTCTCAGACCATCCGCTGCACCGCCGGGCGGCCCCAAAATCCCGCCTGGAGGCTCTGGAACTCGGCTCACCCTCTTCAGTCAACTGCAGGGAGAGCAGGCCTGCTCGGTGCCCTGTTCCGGGTACATGGGGCTCCCCGCTCCCCTGGGACCCGGCGGCCGCCCCCTCCTCCAACCATCTGGGGACCAGCTGGGGTTGAGGGCGGGCTGGAGTCAGAAGGAAGGGCCATTCCTCCGAAGGATCCCCACTGCCGCGTTCTCCTCTTCGCCCGGCCCAGCCCAATGCCTCCCCGGAGGAGCTACCCAACACCGGGCACTCCTCGAAGCCCCTCACACCTCCGCCCCCGGCCCCCGTCCTTCCTTCAGACCCCGGACCCCCGCCTGGACCCCCGCCCCAACCCCTCCCCCAGTGCCCTCTCCGCGCCCCACCCCCACCGCCGACCCCGCCCCCGTGTCCTCCCCTGACAGTGCAAGATAAATGAGGCAGTGCTGCACCTGCAAAGGCCACTGAGACTGGGCTGGGGAAAGAAAATCACCCCCTTGTCACCTTTCCGGCAGCTCATAATGTTCTGAAATTCCTCCCCCCCTCCACCATCCTCCCAACAGCAACCCAGTCCCTGCCTCGCAGTAGGAATTGCTGTGTGCACATTGCAGCTTGGGACTCAAGCCTCGCTCCTGTAATGCCTGCCCGGGGGCACGGAGGTGCGCCTGCCCCTTGGGAATGAGTATCTGGGAGAGATCTTGCCAGATGCTTAGCTCCTGCCTCTTCTTGTCTTCTCGCCTCTTCTGCTGTCTCTTCTGTTTCCCACCTCCCTCTTCACAGGGCACCGAATGCAGCCGACAGCTTTTGACTCTCAGCAGGTCTTTAGTTTTGGAGATAAGCATCTTTCCAGAGTTTTGGAGGCTTAACCTTGCATCTCCTTGCAGCTCCTTGCACCACGCCCCTATGCACTCAAGGCCTCCAATAAAACCTCCAGGCGCTCGGGCCGCCCCCCCCCCCCGCCCTCCCCCCCGCCCCGCTCTCCCCCCCCGCCCTCCGCCCTCTGCCCTCGCGCTGCCCCTACTCCTCCCCGCACCTGGGAGCACCTGGCCCTGGGCTCCCGCCCTGTCCTGCAGGCCCCGCCCCTTGCAGCATCTCCGGTCGGGGAGGGATGACTGGGTCTGGACGTGCCCGGGAACACTATTCAGCCTGAAAAAGGGAGGCGGTTCTGACACAAGCCACTGCCTGGATGAACCTTGACGACGTGGCGCTAAGTGACATAAGCCAGTCACGGAAGGACAAATACTGTTTGATTCCAGTATGTATGTAAGGTCCCGAGAGTAGCCAGATTCGTAGAGACAGAAAGGTGAAGGGTAACTGCCAGGGTGGGCGTATTGTTCAATGCGGGCAGAGTTTCAGTTTGGGAAGATGAAAAGAGGTCTGGAGGTTGGCTGCACAACTGTGTGAATGTATTTAACGCTGCTGAACTGTACACTGTTAAGATGGTACGTTTTATGCGACCTGTATTTTACCACAATTAAAAATAAATAAAATAAAATGAAATAAACCTATCACAAAGGGACAAACACTGTATGACTTCACTTAGATGAGGGGTCAAGAATAGGCCAATTCGGGCCAATTCAAGAGACAGAAAGTAGAATAGAGATTTCCAGGGGCTGGGGGAGGGGAAAACAGGGAGATATTACCTAATGGGTACAGAGTTTCTGTTTGGAGTGATGACAAAGCTCCGGAAATAGACAGTGATCATGGTTACACAACATGGTGAATTTACGAATGTCAGTGAATTGTACACTTAAAAATGGTTAAAATGATACATTTTATGTTCTTCATATTTTAGTACAAAGTTTTAAAAGAGCAATGATAAATTGGATTTCATCAGAATTTTTGAATTTTGCTTTCAGAAAGACATTATTAAGAGAATGAAAAGACAAGCTATAGACTGGAAGAAAAAATTGCAAATCACATATCCAACTGTATGTACTGAGAATATATAAAGAGCTCTCAAAAATCAACAGTTAAAAAACAAACAACCCAATAAGAAAAAATCGAGAATAGACTTCAACAGACACTTCCCCACAGAGGACACATGGATGGCAAATAGCACGTGAACAGATGCTCAACATCATTAGCTCTCAGGGAAATACAAATTAAGCCCATAATGAGATACTAACTACTCACATATTACAATGGCTAAAATAAAAAACACTGACAATACCAAGTGCTGACAAAGATAGGGTGACGAACTATCCTGGTTTCCCAGGGGTTTCCTGGTTCCAGCACTGAAAGTCTCCTGTCCCAGGAAACCCCTAGGTCCTGGCAAAGCAGGATGGTCGGTCACTCAGGGTGAAGATGCAAGCTGGGACATAGGCCGTCGTTGCTGAGAAGGCAGAATGGTGCAGCCACTCTGACAACAGCTTGGCAGCTTCTTAGAAAGTCAACCTGGGGCTTTCCTGGTGGCGCAGTAGTTAAGAATCCGCCTGCCAGTGCACGGGACACGGGTTCCAGCCCTGGTCTGGGAAGATCCCACATGCCGCAGAGCAACTAAGCCCGTGCGCCACAACTACTGAGCCCGCGCGCCACCACTACTGAAGCCCATGCGCCTAGAGCCCGTGCTCCGCAACAAGAGAAGCCACCGCGATGAGAAGCCTGCGCACCGCAACGAAGAGTAGCCCCCACTCACCGCAACTAGAGAAAAGCCCACGCCCAGCAACGAAGACCAAATGCAGCCAAAAATAAAAAAGTTTATTACTTTAAAAAAAAAAAAGTCAACCAGACACTTTACATAATGACCCAGCATTGCCGCTCCTGGGTACTTACCCTGGGGAAATGAAAACCTACCTTCACACAAAAACCTGTACATAGTGAGGTGGATGGACCTGGAGTCTGTCATACAGAGTGAAGTAAGTCAGAAAGAGAAAAACAAACACCGTATGCTAACACATATATATGGAATCAAAGGCAAAAAAAAAAAAGGTTATGAAGAACCTAGGGGCAGGACGGGAATAAAGACACAGACCTACTAGACAATGGACTTGAGGATATGGGGAGGGGGAAGGGTAAGCTGTGACAAAGTGAGAGAGAGGCATGGACATATATACACTACCAAACGTAAAATAGATGGCTAGTGGGAAGCAGCCGCACAGCACAGGGAGATCAGCTCGGTGCCTTGTGACCACCTAGAGGGGTGGGATAGGGAGGGTGGGAGGGAGGGAGACGCAAGAAGGAAGAGATATGGGAACATATGTATATGTATATAACTGATTCACTTTGTTATAAAGCAGAAACTAACACACCATTGTAAAGCAATTATACCCCAATGAAGATGTTAAAAAATAAAATTAAAAAAACCCAAAAAACCTGTACATAAATGTCTACAGCGTGTCTATTCATAATCGCCCCAAACTGGAAACAACCCAGATGGCCTTCAACGGGGTGAGTGCATAGACCGTGGTCCATCCCCACCACGGAGCACCACTGAGCAATAAAAAGGAACGAAGCACTGATACTGCTGCAACTTGAGGGGCCATAAAGGTATCACGTGAGAGAAGGAAGCCAGTCGCAAAAGGCTGCGTACGTGGTACAGGGCTCCGTTTAAGCGACATGGGCACAAGGACGCAACACCAGGGAAGGAGAACCGAGCAGTGGCTTCCAGGGCCTGGGGTGCAGCCTCGCCTACAGCGGAGCAGCGGGAGGGGGCTTCCGGGCCATGGGACTGTGTTGGAGATTACACAAATCCATACAGGCGGTAAAACTCATAGAACTGTACACTAAAAAAGGCCATGTTACTGTATTTTTTTTTTTACAAATAAATTTTTTTTACATTGACAATAATTCCTTAATATCAAATGTAGAGCCAGTGTTCAAATTTCATATATATGTGCATGTGTATATATATGTGCATGTGTATATATATATGTGCATGTGTATATATATGTGCATGTGTATATATATGTGGTTTCAGATGTGTGACTACACACAGTTTGTTCAAATCAAGATCCAGTAAGGCCCACACGTTATGATCCGTCTTGTCTCTTTTTCCCTTCGCCATTTAGGTGCTGAAGAAATCTGGCCACTTGTTCTGTGGAGGCGCCCAGGCTGCGCTTTGCTGATCGCCCCCCCATCTCACCTGCTCCTGTCCCCTCCTGGGACTTCACAGGTGGACTCCAGGCCCCATGGCTTCTTGTGAGGAGGTGCAGGTCACCTTTATCCGACGCCACACGCACCCCAAAGGGGGAGGACAGAGCATGTCCCCTTGGAAAGTCCTGGGGCCCAGGGTGCTGAGGACACCCCAGCGGGTGCCCAGCCCCATCTCACCACCCAGGCAAGCCCTGCCCACAGCTGAGCGGCACTGCCCTGAGGCTGTGCAGAAGTGGGGCTGGGGGAGGGTGCAGCCCCCCAGGGACCTCCTCATGAGGGGCCCCGAGAAACTGAGAGAAGGGGAAGGTTTGGAGACAGAGGAAGCGAGGCTGCCTCAAAGCCAGGGAGGCCGGGGGCCCTGGACCTGAGATGACCCGCCCGACAGAACCAGCCCCTGCCCCTCCCGAGTGCGGACCTCAGGTGGGAAGAACCACACCTTCAGGGACGGACCAGCGGCCTCCCTGGGCCTGTGCACTTGGCTGTGGGACAACCAGCCTCACGACGGGCCCTTGCCCAATGCCAGACCTCAGGGGTGTGACCGCCCCATGCTCTGGGAAGGGGGTGCTCACAGGGTTCTGTCCCTCGAGGGAACCCCAGCTGGGACTCAGGGATCAGGGCCCACGGCCGGGAAGGCCGGGCCTGATCCTGGGGCCGCGCTCCTCCCCTTTGTCCAGCCTCCTCTTCTGCCCAGGAAGCAGATCCATACAGTGAAGCAGGCCTGGGAACTGGGGAGGGGCCGGCCCACTGGGGGCTGCCCCCTTGTTCAGTGCAGGGCCCCCGCGCCCTCCTTGCAGCCACCCCACACCTCGCTGTCCTGATGCTGCTCCCTTGACAGCAGCCCCCGTGTTCATGGCAGGGCCTCCCGGAGCATCTTCAATCCTCAGGCAGTTGGTCGAGGATGCGGCCCCCGCTGGGGTATTTCTGAACACCTGGGGGAGAGAGACAGAGGCGGCGAGACAGAGAGAGAGATACAGAGGGAGGAGAAACGGCTGGACTCGAAGATATGATAGGAATTTCTGT